ATAGATAGATAGATAGATAGATAGATAGATAGATAGATAGATAGATATAGACATAGACATAGACATAGATATAGATATAGATATAGATATAGATATAGATATTTAGAATAAGTACCTAAGTACCATACTTCTGTGTAGCCTTTCCTTGAAGAGTGAGTAGTAGTGATATATATAAGTGTATGTTTGTGTCTGTCTGTCTGTCTCCCCCTCCCTCCCCCCAATCTATGCATCTATGCATCTATCTGTCTTGGGAACATTGATTTGACTTTCTTTGGGAAACAGGTTCAGCTAACCATAACTTATTATGGATAAAGCTGCCAGGGTGGTGGGGTAGAGAAATCATTGATCACTTGTAGAACATAGAAAGCTCCTGGCTTAGATGGACTAAATGGTTTGACTTGATCAAAGTCAGTAGTACCTAACATCTGAGGAATTAAGGACTCAAGAGTTTGGTTTCTTGATCTCAAATACTTCCAGAAATATGGAAACTTCTTGAAGGATCAGAGCTCACATTTTTCAACATGTTTATATTAAGAATGAAAGGGCAAGGATGGAAAGAGGAGGCATATGGGACCTGAAGTGCTTCCATCCTCTCTCTTAACCACCACCCCAGCTCCAAAATTTTCTTGAATCATTTTTCAAGAATGTTGAGAAGTTAGAGGTTTTGATGAGAACAGAGAAACAATGGCAACACATAAATGCTGGGGGAAGAAAGGCATTGAGTTCTACAATTGGGGAGCTTTTTTGGCTGGTTTATATTTCTGTTCCCAGAATAATGTGTTGTGGGAACTTGAGTGAGTTGATAATTTAATTTCCAGATGGTTGAATTTAGCCTGAAAGAATTCAGTCTTGCATAGAATTAAGCCCACTCAGCCATTTCATAGGAATATGTAACCCCAATTATGTGGCACGTATGACAAACTAGTCTTCTCATAGAGAACTAAATAGCCAGTTTTCTAATGCCCAATTGCTAATTGAGTAGGGTCTGCACAAGATGTCTACCCAACATTGATCCAACTAAATGTGGTGTACAGTCAACGAAAAGTGGCAATTGCCATAGTAACTGATTAATAGAAAATGTATTTCAGAACATTCCTCTGTACAATTCCTGATTTTATTCTACATCCTAGTATATGAACTGTAAATAATTGTTAAACTATAAAATACTTGTCTGTTTTCACACTGCATATCACCATATCGTTTCCTTTTATAGCCCAGATCTCTATTACCTATATCTATTTATATCTGTCTATCTATCATCCACCTCTATCTATCTATCTATCTATCTATCTATCTATCTATCTATCTATCTATCTATCTATCTATCTATCTATCTATCATCTGTCCATCCATCCATCCAAAATGGTTACATCCATCCAACATCTCTCTCTCATCATCATCATTTTTAAAACAGTTTTGAATACTCATTATTACACCTTGTGATTTTTTACAGAAAGTAATCATCTCACAGCCTTATATAAGAAAGAAGAGACCATCAATGTTTGGGAAAATGGCTACATCCAGAGTCCTCGTTTCCCACACAATTATCCTAGGAATCTGTTGCTGACTTGGAAGCTACATTCACCAGGAAATGCTAGAATACAGCTGGTGTTTGATCATCAGTTTGGACTGGAGGAACCAGAGAATGATATCTGCAGGTAAGCTAATCAAACCACCAAGGAGGTCCAATGTGATTCATAATGTTTGGTAGAACAACTTCAAGGCAGGCAAAAATAAGTTAGCCAAGTTTCTTAGAGATGTTTTTAAAAAATTAAAAACTGCAGTCAGACCAAACTTGTTTTCTTATTGATATAAGATTTGGGATGCTCATCTGTTGAAGGAAATTGTATCAAACAATTTCCACCTATGTCTGCTCAGCATGGAATTGCAAAATCCCTCCAAAAGCAGCTGAACAGTTTTTAAATGTAGCAGAAGGGGAGAGAGATTTAATCTGCTTAATGACATTCCCCAGTCATTAATTCTGACTAATTCTTGTCTTTTCACATATTCATTTTCTTTCAATTTTTATTTGGTAGTCTTGTTTTTCTCCTGGCTATCAATTATAAAATGTCTATATATCTCTTTTCATAAATGAGATTGTTAATTAAAAAGGTGGGAAAAAAAACTGCATTATCAATTCAAATATATTTTTGAATTACAGTTAAATCTAATCAAATGTTCGACTCTGGATCTCACCTATTTCTTTATCCTGGAGTAGCCTATTTTTTTTGACATAAGATCCCAATTTGCAACTTAATGTTTCTTGGGCCTAAGAAGGTTTTGCTCTTTTATACTATACATTATCACATGTATTTTATTTGAGTGAAACAGCTGGAAAGCAAACTGTGGATGAGAAATGATATAAGGCATGAATAACGCTTATTTTTATGCAGGACTTGTTCTTTGTAATGTTTATTTGAATAAAAAAATATATTTGGAGAACACAGAGGAACTATATTCCAAGTTTTCTGTCTGTTGAATGGCTCTTTAGCATTCAAAGTGTATGGGTACATTTTATGCCATACTATGTCAAAAAGAGAATTCTGAAATTTTGCAGATTTGTTACCTAAGAACTATCCAAACACACCTGCATTTGGCATGAAGTGTTTTCAAAAGCAAATTTCTGTGTCACTGTACCAGGCTTTTAAAAATGTGCACAAATAAGAACATCAGATGGTATTTTCTGCTGGCTCATGATTTTAATAATGTTCTACAACTTTGTGATACCCATTTTTAGCCACGGGGGAAAAAATGCTGCAAGTCCTGCCCCCATCCACCCATATATTCTTCCTCTCTTCTCCTTTAATGCAGAGAATATTCAAAATGTCAGTCATATGATCTGCAGTGATGCTTGACATTAACTGAGATTGGCTTTAGACAAGATTTGCAAAATCTTCTGGAAAGCTTTGCCATAATTGAATGGAGGCATTCAGAGACGCTGAGTCCCCAAGGAACACAGGTTTTATTAGGAAGTGGATTTTGCCAGACCTATGTGGGACTTACACCAAACTACTATATCTATAGGAATCAAATTAAAACCAGTTTTTTGGGGGGAGGGGAGTTTTTGCTCCATATTTGCATAATATAACACCATCTAAGCTAATACTGTGGAGTCCTTGAATCCATACGTAGGTTGTGGTACTAGTTTTCTGAATCCAGAGGCTGGTAGCTAACATGTTGAAAGTGTAGAAGTATTTTATGGACACTGTCTGAAAATCCCACCAACAGTCTTTCTAGAGAACTGAGCAGACTTTCAAAGTTGAGCTGTAGCCAGTGCCTATGTTTTTTTAAAAGTGGCCCTGTGATTTCCAGTGCCAGCATGGAACTGACAGATGTTGCAGAACAAATAATGGCGATAATGATGATGATGATGATGATCATCATCATCATCAAAGGTGATTCTAGAAGCTTCAGGAGCCATGGTGGTGCAGTTGTTAGAATGCAGTATTGCAGGCTACCTCTACCCATTGCCAGGAGTTTGATCCCAATTGACTTAAAGTTTACTCAACCATCATTCTGAGGTCTGAAAAATGAGGAGTCGGATAGTTGGGAGCAATATGTTGACCCTGTAAACTGCTTAGGGAGGGCTGTAAAGCACTGTAAAGTGGTATATAAGTCTAAGTGCTATTGTTAGAAGCTGATTTTGGCTTTCTAGATTTACAGTTCCCATTTGTGTTTGAATAAAAGGATCATTAAAATGTGAAATGTTCATTGGGGAAAAAAATCCTCTCTTCTGCCTTGTATCATCATTTCTTTGCCAGACTACTAATCTATCACCTTCACTCCAGATATGATTTTGTGGAAGTGGAGGATATTTCCGAAATTAGCACTCTCATCCGAGGACGGTGGTGTGGATATAAAGACATTCCTCCCAAAATAACGTCAAAGACAAACCAGCTGAAGATCACCTTCAAATCAGATGACTTCTTTGTGGCTAAACCAGGATTCAAGGTTTACTATTCCCTGGTGGTAAGTAACATGATGATATCTGGGGAAGAAACAAAAAACTGCCATAGGGTACAAGGTACAGGGTACCTTGTACAGGGTACAAAAAATTATTGGGGAAGGAAGGAAGAGTAATAAACTTCCAAGTTAAGATAATGAATCCTGCTTCCCTTTGGGGAATATGTAGTAGGATAATTTTTGATGAAATCAGTAGAGGAAGAAAACTATTAATTAAAATTCACTACTCCTTCATTTTAATAACATATATAGGAAAATACTATACATTTGGGGCTAGAAGCAATCGGGTGAAGGCAGTGACAGGGATTTCCTCTCCCCCTCAAAAAATACTGTGAAAGGCGACACTCTTATTCAAGTCCAACATTACCTCAGTTGAAGTCAGAGGTGGGAAGGAAAAATGCCTTCAAGTGTTGAAACTCATGAAGCTAAGCAAAGCACACACAGGTCATCAGCAATCAAAGATTGATTGATTGATTTAGGAAATGTATATAGCTGCCTATTTACTCATAGTGATTCTGGCAGCTTACAATAAAAACACAATGTAGAAAAAATAAAAATCAATAACACCCCTGCCCTTGTGACAGCACACAATTAAGGGAGCCATTTGATGGGCTCCATCACACTCTGGGTATCCTGGGCCCACTGACAAAGCCAGGTCTTTAGGGCCTTCCGAAAAACAATCTAATTTCTGCAGGGATAGTGTTCCAAAGGGAGGGAGCCACCACAGAGAAGGCCTTTCTTCTGAGTCCTGCCAGATGTATCTCCTTAAGGGATGGGACCTGCAACATTCCTTACCTCCTGGCTCTAGTGGGCCAGGTGGATGTGACTGGAAAGAGACGGTCCCTCAGATGCAGATATGAATCAACAAATTATTGTATTTTGAATACACTGTCGGTAGATCTTGATTTCTATAGAAAGGTTCTAATGTTAGGAAAGTTGGAAGGGAAGGTCACCAGCAAAGTTTGTGGGCTCATTTACAGTGACATTATTGGTAGAAGTGAAGGGCCAAGGTAGGGACAGATCATCATAGAGAAAATCTACCTATGTGGACTTAACACCAGCCTGTTGGCACATTGTCAGGTGCTCAGCATGATTATCTGGTGGTAATGTAGGCTCTGTGGGAGTGGTGTGATGGCCTAGAGGATGCTTGCCTCCCACTCGAAAGGTTGTGAGTTCAATCCTAGGCAGTAGCAGATGTTTATCCAGGCGCAAAGAGAAAAATATATGCTGTGAACTCTGCATAGGTGTCAGGAAGGGCATCCACCCAGTAAATGCTCATCTCCACTCAGTTTTCTCGACTCCACCCCAAATCAAGGGATTAAAGGGTCATAAAAAGAAAAAAAATGTAGGTTGTGTGGCTTCTTTTCAGATTAGAGACGAAGTGTTGGAATAGTCTCAATATCTTACTCAGATTGAAAACATTGTTTAAGGAAGCAACATTGTTCTCAGCCAATATAGAATTTTTATTTACTTATTAGATTTTCATGCTGTCGATCTGTCACATGATTCTGGGTGGTTTACAGTCTGAAAATGGAGAAAAGAGGAAATGGAGACATACCAGCTTACTTTTCCCAATCCTGTAGTATCATCCCACTAGTGTGAGAAGTATGTGAGATGTACCTTCGTATATCTGTATATTAGAATATAAATATAATAAATTGTGATGGATACTCCATAAGGGAAAGCAGTTGATCAAACAGCCTAAAATGAAACAGCCTTAGCTATTTGCAGTTAGAAATTTATTTCAAAAATAAACATGCCAATTAGCAGCTGTCTTGAGGTACAGAATTCTTATGAGCCAGGTAATTATATTAGTGTCATAGTAGTGACACTCTGCTTCTCATAATATAAATTTCAAGGCATGTTGAAACCTGAGAAAGCACCTTACTAAAAAAACAGCTGCTTTTCCATTTTCTGCACCATTTTTTTCTTTTTAACTTTACGGACTTCTATTATGAATGGGCAGATAAATTCTCCTGACTTTTGCTGCAGTCATCTTTCTGTTTGGTCAGAGAGTTTGCTTTAGAATTTATTCTAAAGGAGAGGAGAAATTCGGAGTTACAAGAAAGGGCAGACATCTGTGACTTTCTTGTGTTTCACTGCATCGTCCTCTCTCTATCCATCTGTGATGGCTCTGACTGTAACTGTATGTGAGAATGACCTTAGGAGATAAGAGAAAGAACTGCAAAGTAGGCAGATAAAGGGCACCTGAGCCAGCAAGAGAAATAGGGATTTGGCAAATGGCTCATAAGAAACTCTTCCTGGTTTCCTGGACTGTATAGGTGAAGGGTGGAGGGGAGATGTCATTTCAATCTTCAAAAGATTCTGTCAGTGTAATCTTACAATAAAGACAGAGTTAATACTTCTCAGTGTGCTTCCATCTGGACTATTTCATTGACCTTGTGTCCTACACATTGTTAACTTCCAGGGGAAAAAAATAAGGATAGTGTTTTTTCCTATATAGTAATGCTTAATATGATGATTAAAGGGTGAGTTCTGCCTTTGATAAATTGATAGGGAAAAAAAAAATCTTTGGAGAAATTTAAAGAAAACATTGCTCTGCCCATATATTTGGTGAAAAAATTCAGAGGAGAGTTTTTGTTTTGCTATTGCTATTGTCTCTGAGAAGGCAGAGTCTTCCTCTTGGACAAGTGGATGAATGGAATTGTGATCCAGCTGTCAAGCACCAAAGAAATCAGGAGATCCAGGCAGCTCAAATGGGTATAAACGTTTATCGCAAGCTTAAGCTCTCGACAAGAATCTGAACTACTAATGGTCAAAGAAAATTGGTGGTAGATAAGGATAAAAGGAATTTGAGGTGGACTGGACTTAGATCTCTTGTGAATGTGAAGGGATTCATGAATGATGATGCATTTGACTCCTCTTTCTGACTCAACCTGGGCATTTCCTACACTAACACATCTGCAGTCTATAGCCTGGGAAAGACTAACTTTTGTGACTATAATGACCTCATTGTCAACTCGTAAAGCATTTCTATGTCTGTTTTAGAGATGCCATAAACAGGGGGAGGGGAGGAAATCTGAAAGAGCATTGCAGCAGTTTAAAACCAGTAGTACATTCCAACACTTACCTTACAAGTTTGTAGCTAAGCTACCGGATCTTCTGCCCACTAAAATCCTTAATTGGAGAACATGATTGATGACACCCCACCTGCGAATGTGCTTTATTGGAGAATCTGATTTATATTTTCTTGTTTCCAGGGGGAGGGGAGAAAACAGGGTCACAGGTGTCTGTAAATTATGTATGTCAGAGTTGGCTTCAAACAGATTAATGCCAGACATGTTGCTCCTAATAAATCTTTTGGTTTCTTTTGAAGCTTGGCTCAAGACTCGTGCATGGTAAATGTTGAGGGAAATTATTGGAATTACTGAAAGAATTGCTTCTTGTAATAAGCTTGGAAGGGGCAAATCCAACCCTCCTAGAGAATGTTGAAGAAATAATTCAGCTAATTTCCTTTTTCACAAACATAGTAGAGAGTCTCAAGTGACATTTATGCCCAACTTTCATGTTTATTACACATGCCAGTGAGATGTGTATATTCCAGGAGCACTTCAAGAAAGAGGAAACAGTATGGTAGCTTCATTGCTGAAAAATTCAGAAGAATCCAGATATGGTCCCATTGGACTCAGAATATTGAGTTAAACAGGATATTGATATAGATCTCCAAAGCTATGCTCGTGAGTTAAGTTACTATGCTGTGGAAGCCTTTAATTTGAAAGCAATTTAGCAAAACAGCAATTTATGGTATTGCTTTCCCTGGAGTACCACACAATGCATAAAAATTAAGCACTGCTGCTTTGTGTGATATTTCCGAAGGACCTCTCCTATAATTAGCCAGTTTTATGAGAAACTGTGTACAGTTAATTCAAAACCCTGGGGCTTCAGGAAACAAGAAAATATATAACATTGCAAAAGAACAGAGATTTGTGTGTGCGTTTTTCCCCAGGAGGAGAAAATGGATGAATATTGTTGCCAAGGGTCTGTGATATCATGTTTGTGTGCATAAAAAGTCAGGTTTGCTTGCCAGCAGCCTGTCTGAGAGAACATGGTCCTAGCCTTCTTGGAAAGCAAAAGGGTTTTTCCAGATGGTGAGACCTCTGAGCATTTCAGGCATGTTTAAAGAAATAGATCAGAAGTGGTATTCAGCTGGTTCTCACCAGTTCTGGAGAACAGGCTGTGGAAATTTTGAGTAGTTCAGAGAACTGGCAAATACCACCTCTGACTGGCCCCACCCCCATCTATTCTCTGCCTTCCGAATCCCAGCTGATTGGCTGAGTCTTCTTTTGTTGCCCTGCACAGGAGAACGGAGCTGGAAAGCAGATTAGTGGGGTGGGGAAGGAATGGGATTTTGCAGTAACCTTCCCCCAGGAGTGGGGTGGATATGGAGATTTTGCAGTATCCTTCCCCTGCCACACCCAGCACCCCATGCCTACCAAGCCATGCCACGCCCACCAAGCCACATCCACAGAACCAATAGTAAAACATTTGAATCCACCACTGGAGTCAACAATAGATTGCACAATCGATGCAAACATTTCTTTTTTCTCAACAATAATTTTTTTAATCAAATGTATTTTTCCTGGGCTTGCTGCAAACACAAAATTAAACTTTTGTAATTTGATACTCTTCTCATATGACGGACTATAAATCTAATGATTCTCACTAGTACAATCAGTTGAAAATTATGTCTGTAATACACCACTATGACCAGTAGGCTCTAGTATGGAGAAAGCTGAGTGATGTCATAAACTGCTTAGATGACTGTTCAAGTATTTCATTACGAGGAAGCTTATGCAGAAGTTGCACCAGTGCCATGTTGAGAAATTCTTCAGCATTTTTCATTGTTCTGCAATCTGACAGAAGCAAATTGCTTTCAAACAAGAAGAGATATTTTGGAGAAATTCACGTCGGTTTAAGGGCGTCATATTCCATTTATTTGTTTAAAATATTTGTATCCTATTTTCCTTTTAAAAATAAACAAACCT